TAATCTCGTGTTGTCATTAATCACCGAAACCCAACTAAGGGCCTAGATGCTTTCACTAAATATCTTCATTCTGCATGTCAATACCGTCATTGCCATGAGCAACTCCTATACCTGTTCTCTACACCTGTCAGTTCAGATGCACATTGTAGGAAAAAAATAAAGATTTTACTACCTGTCACTCATAAGACCTTTGGCCTACGTATTGTTACTTGCCTGATTAGTGGCTTTCCATATATATATATATATATATATATATATATATATATATATATATATATATATATATATATATATATATACTACACACACACGGTAAGGCTATTCTGCAGCTGGCCACATAATAACTTATTCTATAGCCACCTTGATTTACGATAATGTTTATATCAATTTACGATAATGACAATACACATTTACGATACATGGGTTACTATAATTCAAGATGATACTTACCATAATGTTATAGTAAATCACTTATGAGAGAGTTATCATAATCTCGTAAATTAGTATAGTAATTATCGTAACTCAAAGTGGCCACGGAATAACTTATTCTGCGGGAGAGTATATTCAGTAGCCAGCTACAAAATAAGTTATTCTGTAACCACCTCCGTTTACGATAATTTTATATACTAATTTACGATAATATCAATACATATTTACGATAGTTGAGTTACTATAACACATGGGGATATTTACCATAACGTTATAGTAAACCACTTAGTAAGGAGTTACTATACTCTCGTAAATTAACATAGTAATTATCGTAACTCAAAGTGGCTATAAAATAAGTTATTTTGTAGCCAGCTATAGGGTAGTGTGTATATATATATATACACCTGATTACTGATCATGTGCACACCTAATATCGTTAGTTGTACAATGCTGGTGAATTATTTCATTTTTCATGTTACCTACTGAGGTTTTTGAGATTGTGCAATGACGAGCTTTTGCTTTTTTTCACTAAGACAATATAATTCTGCAATAATGATTCATTATTTCATTCTTCCACGGTCCTTGCTCTTTCCATTAGTTTTTGTGATGGCAATGTTATTATATCTTAGCAATTCTCTTCCGCATATGTTCTTTTGTTTTTATTAGTTCCTGCATCTCTTTGTGATGGACTTCAGATTGATTTCTTTTTTGTTTCCCTATACAGCTTCAGTTTGAGTTGCTGGATTCTTTTAAGAGTGCCCAAGATTGCAGAATCATAGATGAGCATACTACGGTGGATTGTACCTCCAAAGGATGCAACTGAGACCTGGCATCCATATTTATACAAGCTTAGTGTTTTTTTCATCTTATATGCCCAGCCTGCAAACAAAAAAGTTCTATTTTTTCCCTAGCTGAAGTAGTTTGACTTTGTAGGCAATAGCTCTGACAGATTGCCTTGTGCTCCTGTGAATATTTTCCCTACTTCTATACTTACTGTTGAACTTCAAACTATGAACAGTCTTCTTCTGTACATGATTTCAATAGAAGACTGCAGTTTCCAGAAGAAGAAAAAAACACTGCACAAAAACAAATTGAAGATTTTACTACCTGTACATTCATAGGTCCTTTGGCCTATTATCGTTCCTTGCCTCAATAGTTTTTTTCCCAAATTATATATATGTGATCCGCTTTACCATATTTCCGGATTTCTGCCATATTGGTTAACTTTAACATTATTATTACGCTTGACAAAAACTCCTACTGTCCACTTGCTGCTTAACTCTATGGTTTATGCATTTCATGTCCTGCTTCGAAATATCATAGCTGATATAAACATACAAGAGATGTGCACACATTCATCTGCCCCGTTTGCTACGCAGTGCTTATTCTTCACTGTGTCCTTTGCATTGTTTCTACCTTCTCATGCTACATATATATGCTTGCTAGCCCGCGCAGGTGCGTGCGCGGGGGTTCCTGCTAGTTAGAAGTGATTCGTAGAGATTGTTGGATGTACACCATGTGAACGAGTACAAGATGGGCCTATCAAAAAAAAAAAAAAAGGAGTCAAGATGGGGAGTCTTAGTTTGGCATGGTGTTGAAGCTCAGCAAATGCGTGTAAGAGTCTGTTCTTTGTAAGAATCCCGAAAGAAACCAGAACCGCAAAAACATGACTTCTTTGTTTCTTCTTATAAATTTAGTTTAATTATAACAAAACTGCCACTATAGCTGTTTTTGTCAAACGCTCTCCAACATGGTTTCAGCTCTACCAGAAACAAGAGAAATCAGAACTAAAACCCTTTAAGGAGGAGCCGGAACCTGCCAGACTTTGACAAGACGATGGTTGGATTCCTTCGACTTCGTTCCCAACTTCCCATGTCTTATTCTGTCGTACAAGTCCAGTGATTGAGTGGCGGCTGGTGACCCTTTGCTATGATTCTATGACTGTTGTCATCTTTTGCAAACGTCCGACGACACGCATGGGTGTGAGATCCATTTGTGGCAACTGGCAAGATTCGGAGGAGTGCAATCTTTTGTGGGATTAAATTGCAAGATCTTTTTGAGGAAAACAGAGAATATATGAAGAATTTTAGGAGTTAGGAATGCTTTTTTTTCGAGAGCGTGTGTTTGTGACGCGTATTTCATTAGGTAGAAGCAGAGTTTGACCGGTTACAACATCAAAAGTAATCCATAGATTACCGTAGAAGGATGGAAGCCAACACGATCCAAATAAACCTAACTTAAATTACATTACATGAAAGTTTTGCAACCAATTGGGCAGGTGCCAACGAGACTAGTAAGCCTCCTCGAATATACACTCGAACCCCGCCACGTCGAACTTCATAAGCGCTCGAAGTGCGGCTCTTTTTACGGAGTCGAGTGGGCCCTGGAATGTCTGCGGGAAGTCTGTCACTACATGGGTATCCGACGGCTGTGAGGCGATGGGTTCGCACTTGGACACAAGCACCTTCTGCGCTTGAAGGGTGGCGTTAGGGGTCCGATAGGCACACTTTGCCGACAGACGCGTGCTACGGCGGATGGTGATCATAGATGGAGAGCGACGGGTTCGACGTCGGGGTGGCGCCTTGAGGATGGGAGTCTTCAGCAGGGCAGAGACGCGCCTAGCAAACTCCTGGCGAGGGCCGAAGAAGAAACGTTGTCGTAGTCCGGTTGTCGGTCCCACGTCGGCATAGAGGTAGGCGGTCGATCCTCACCTTCCACCCCCGGCGCCTCAGCATCCACGAAGCTAAGCTGAATCATCCGTGGTGGCGAATAGGTGCCCGCCGACGATGCCTGAACCGTGGTGCCAGTCCCGCGCCGGCATAGAGCTAGGAATGCTGGAAACCGAGGATTGGGAGCTGATTTTTTTTTGGGGTGCTCTTTTCTGAATTTATTTAACTGAATGTTTAACAGCCATGTTGAGTAGTCATGTACAGTGAATGGATACAATCGTGCGTGTTGCAAGCAACTGAGGACTGTTGTGGCCATTCCTCCTTAAACCCGTAATAATACATACATATACTCCTACCTAGCTTTGATTAAGAGACAGAGGGTCACTCGCCCAAAGTCGCTGTAGGTACTGTCTGTCGAGGGCATGCATCGGCAACCGCGCACCGGCCGGTACGGTAAACGAACCTCATCACACTTGACACTCCGAAATTAAATCTGAATTCCTGTCGTCAGTTAGCAGTTGACAGCTGCTTGTCACAACGAAATACTAATAAATCATTTAGGCCTTGTTTAAATGTAGTCGGATTCGCATCAATCCATATGTATTGGGGTGAATTGAAGTGGAACTTGAACTAAATTATACTCCAACACATGTGGATTGAGGTGAATTTGATAACATCCAAACGAGAGGGAAATTGTTGGTTGAATTACCATCTGAACGAGTACAAGATGGGAAACTTACCATTGAAATTTGAAAGTTGGGTCAAATGATGGGCACGGTAGATTAGACTTCGTTCACGTGCTGTTTCGATCCGTGCAGCTCCAGTGGTTTGCTACTCTACGATCTTATTCTTTCTGGCTCCTGTGGTCTCCTGTGGGAAACGTTTGAAACAGTACCGTCGCCTTCTATCGGTCACTCCACCCCTAATTAGCATCTCCATCAGATCTCTGTCCCCTTTAATTTTAATATCTCCGCCGTATACTTGACTAGTTCCTTTGCCCCTCTATACGAGTCAATTAGCAATATCTGCACAAATGTATCACTATAACTTTTCTCAAAGGGAAAGGGATATTAATAAGTTGGCACAGTGCATCTCTAAATTATAAAAAAAAAGTAAAAATTAAGAAAATACAATATTCTATCTAGGTCCTTTCATAATCTTCTTCGTTAGTGTAGACAATACAAGATTTGACATTCTAGAACTAGATTGGAACTCATGTGAACCAATAAAAGGACATCAATGGTTGCATCAACGCAAGTATTTTTTTGAACCGTGGATACATCAACATGTTGTTTGTAGATAAAATTAAAATCATTTGCTACCAAAGTATATTTCATAATCAGTCTACCAATACTTACTAAAATTAAGCTGCCAGTTTGCAACTCTCTTTTAGGAGTTAACGGTATAAGGATCAAAGTTAAAAATATTTAACTTTTACATTGTCCCAATCCTTAGAACCCGAATTCAACTCCCTAAATTCCAAGTTTCTTCGCAAATTCCTCACATATACGTCCGCACTATGATCCTCAAAAGATCTCACGATTCCACTCCGAATATTGTGGAGCTATGCTACAAGTGGACTAGCGTAATAATTCAGAATTTAGTTTTCATATCTAACGACTAGCGTATTAGTACAAGGAAACCATGCATTAACGACGTGCATAATCAGGAGGAGTCACGTCGGTACAGCTTGGACGACGAGGCGGTGCCCCGGCCCCTGCCGCCTTAAATAATCGCACGCGCGCGCACACCCAACCGCGAGCTCCATCCACGCTGACGCGTCGTTACACCATGAACGCACTGCAACGATCGCGTATAAGTATGTCGCCAGGGCGTCGGCCACGGCACACGGTGCAACGTGCAAGAGACGATCGAGCGTAAACTGTAAAGTGTAAACAGCACATGGCGGCGTCGTTGTCCATGGTGGCGTGGCCGCTGACGGTCGTGTCCCTGCTTGTAGCGTCGGCGGCGATAATGAACGGCGGCGGCGGCGGCGGCGGTGCGCAGGCGCAGCCGATTGTGCCGGCGGTCATCTCGTTCGGCGACTCCACCATCGACGTCGGCAACAACAACTACCTGCCCGGCGCGGTGTTCAAGGCCGACTACGCGCCGTACGGGCAGGACTTCGTGCGCCACGAGGCCACCGGCCGCTTCTCCGACGGCAAGATCGTCACCGACATCACCGGTTTGCTATGCTACCACCACGCATGATGCCTACTCTGTAGACTGTAGTGATTAGGACGGCGGCTGTGTGTGACGGACGAGTTCGTTCTTCTGTTCATCTGTTGGCTTGTTTGTTGCAGCTGAAACACTCGGCTTCCAGAGCTACGCGCCGCCGTACCTCAGCCCGCAGGTGTCGGGGAAGAACCTGCTCATCGGCGCCAACTTCGCCTCCGCGGCGTCCAGCTACTACGACGACACGGCGGCCATGTATGTAAGTACCATACATACATATATGTTTGTGTATATATATGTAAAATTATTGCTACAACAAGCCATTTTTAGCAGGATACGATAGATGTTGTTGCTTGTTGAGGCTATCTGCTAGTGACGGGTAGGTGTATGTTTGGTGCCTGCTTGTGCACACGTGCAGGACGCGATCACGCTGACCCAGCAGCTCAAGTACTACAAGGAGTACCAGTCGAAGCTGGCCGCGGTGGCCGGGCACGCCAAGGCTCGCGCCATCCTCGCCGACGCGCTCTACGTCGTCAGCACGGGCACCGGCGACTTCCTCCAGAACTACTACCACAACGCCTCCCTGTCCCGCCGCTACAACGTCGACCAGTACTGCGACCTCCTCGTCGGCATCTTCTCCGGCTTCGCCGACGTACGTCATCGACCTGATCAGAGACTCATGAATCTCAGCGCCATTCATGTGTGCCGGCCGGCCGGGCGCCATCGTTTGCTCCGTGTTGAACAACGCGATCGAATCTGTGTGTTGATTGCAGGAGCTGTACAGGCTGGGAGCGCGGCGGATCGGCGTCACGTCCATGCCGCCGCTGGGCTGCCTGCCAGCGTCCATCAGGCTGTACGGCGAGGGCCGGGATGCGTGTGTGCCGAGGCTCAACCGCGACGCCGAGACCTTCAACGAGAAGCTGAACGCCACCGTCAAGGCGCTCAGGCGGCGGCACGCGGACCTCAAGCTCGCCATCTTCGACATCTACACGCCCCTCCGCGAACTCGCCCAAGACCCGGCGGCTTATGGTACGTGTTCGATAATGTCGTGATCACGCCATGGTGATAGCTACTAACATATATGACCATCGATGTGCGTCGCCGCCGTTTATTTAGGCTTCGCGAACGCGAGGGGTACGTGCTGCCGGACGGGGACGGCCAAGACGAGGGTGTACCTCTGCAATCCGACGACGGCCGGAGCATGCCGGAACGCCAGCAGCTACGTGTTCTTCGACGCCGTCCACCCGTCGGAGGCTGCCAACGTCTTCATGGCGGAGTCCATGATCGAGGCGGGCATCGAGCTGGTTACCTAGGAATAATGGCGTCAATAAAGTAGACGACAGCTGCAGATGCCGCAGCTGACAGACGGCAGACCGTAGACATGTGTCTCTCCTCATCTGTTTTCGTTAGTGTTGAGCCGTTTGTTATTTGGTTTGGTGTTATATATTTTTCTTTTAATGAAATACATGCTACACGGCACGTTCGAGAAAACAAAACTACAGTGTCTGGGATAGCCTGTGAAATTGCACCGTCGGCCGGTCGGCCCTGCCGTTTTCGTAATGTTGATAATCATATATGCATGGCATCTGTAGCCGCTCATCAGTTTCCTGTTCCATCCAAGAAAACAACAGTGTCTTGAATAGCCTGTGAAATTGCACCGTGGCCTACCATTTTTTGTAATACTGTTAATCATATACTATGCGTTTTCCTATATATACATAATACATTTGTAAACAAGTACTAGTGGGTGGTGTGTCCTAATGATCGTGATTTTCTTTTGATTTTTCATATGCAAGTCTTACATATATATATATATATATATATATATATATATATATATATATATATATATATATATATATATATATATATATATATATATATATATATACTGATAGTACCTGCAGATGCGGGAGTTCTATCCTCCTAGCAATGTTATGGGGCATAAAATATATTAAATTATCACAAGATTTGAAGTAATAAAATAATATTAAATTATCACAAGTTTATATAATAAGATAATAACATTTATAATACCAACTAAGTACCAATAAATTTTTTGTTAATTATATTTTTATAGTATACCTATTTGATGTCATAAATCTTTGTAATTTTTTTTATAATTTTGGTCAAACTTGAGAAGCTTTGACTCTCCAAGATTCTTGAAATGACTTACAATTTGGGATGGAGGGAGTAACAGATACACTGGAATTGTCAATCCAATAACTGACTATATTTACTAACAACCAACGATGAACTACATACAGCAACAACCAACAACCAACGATGAACTACATACAGCAAAGCCGTAAACTGACTAGCTGCAAGCCTGCAACACCCAAAACAGCCTACATGAGTACAGGTATATATCAAATCCAGCAGCTGAAATTAATGCTGATGTCCTAAGGAAACACAATTTATTCGCTTGCATTAACTCAAAAGGAAAATAACACGTTACCTGCAGATCCTTTGTGCTCCGGTGTCTCAACTAGCAGTGGGAAAGGGCAGTGTTCAGAGTAGACTATTATTTCCCAGAACCCATACCGGAACCATGAACATTGCGCCTGAATACACTATGTCGTATATGCTGCTTTCGCATGAGAAGCAGGTTCCAGTGTTCCTGGAAAGAGGTTAAGGATTCGTTAACAGAAACATGTACAGCCGAGTGAGAGCAAGAAGAAATGAAAACCTGGAACACTGAAATACAGATCAGACAAACCAGTTCAATCATGCACGTACTTGATGTTTCCTTTCCTCTTCATGGGAATCAGGTCGACCTTGAAGTGAATAAAAGAAGTGCAACCAAAGCACCATCACCAGCATTACGATTATCTGGTTTGGGTGTCTGAACTAGGAGTTAGCCATGTAAACCTTGAACCCTGAAAATAGAAACCAACTATTCAAAAGTGGGGGCATGAATAACATTAGCACGTGATAAACCTTAGTCCTTAACGACTACGAACAATAGCTAGCATTCATGACTTTGAGCAAGAGGTGCGATTATTAAATTTCTTGTCGGTTCAAGCTGATGGCTGGTCGGTCCACTATTAATGGCTCCTCAGACGGCAGTGACGCAGTGCAGCATGTGTGGAGACATGAACAGTTACTGGAATCAGGGCAAAGAAAGAGAAATGTAGCAAGGAATTGGGTCGGCAGAAATTTGACACTAATCCGCAACTTCACAAAGTTTAATTTCTTTTACGTAAGTTCCAAACTACCATATACAATTTCATGTTAGCAAAGTTGAAGATGTAGCCAGGAAAATCCTACGTTCCCAGAACAAATTCTCCAGTCTGGCAAGGCAAAATTAAAACTAGTAAATCAACTCAACTTGTCTCGGTTGTTATGTTTGAATCCAATACATTAAGATTCCTTCAATATGTTTTGGCTCCTGTCCTCTCCATGTGATGTTAGATGTCACTAGCTTGGAGCAAGTATGAATGTAAGGAAATAAGTTATAGTAACACTTGCAAAGAGAAAAAGGTGTAAAATAACTTGTTCCTCAAAAGCAATTTGATATTTTAATGTTCACATGAACAGCTCAAAAGCTTTCATATTGCAACAACAAGCACCATTTGTAGTAAGTCCATTCCAAAAAAATAAGTTGGCCAAGTAACCTTAGACTTTGCAATCAGAAACATAGTCGACAGGTTGCACTGTAAAAGCTCTTGACAGTAAATTACTGTGGAAACTGGAAAGTTCCAGGTTGGAGCCAGTAGCTACATTTGCAAGTCAACTTTTACTACTTCACTTGTCCATGCTATCTCTCATATTTGTACATATTCCAGATATTACTTTAAGTTAGCTATAATTTTTAAGTTATCTATAACTGACATATATTATATTAAATTATCTTTGAACTGATCAGGATTTATTGCACTCTTTAAATGGACACGACTTACCTCTCTGGAGGGAAATGATCGTTATCTGCAATGGATCTGGTCCAACTCAACAGTTCAAAGTTCAGACTATTGTGCTGTGCTTCCTTCAACCACATTATCATTACCATCAGAATGGAGGCTGACAATCAATTTAGACATTCAAATATTCAAGAGCTGCATAAAATCCCTGGTCTCTGCTACACAGGAAGATGAAACCTCTTGTTCATTTCAAGGATAACGTCCCCAAATATCTCACAGCCTTGCCCATTCTTATTCCAGTTTAACAACCTATTATGAAGATCAATCACAAAATCTTTATCTTGATTTCCCTGTTCCAACACCTTAAATAATGACTTTACACACTTGAGCAGGTATGGGCCTGTCTTGTTTCTGAGTTGGCTGGCAAAACGATGACATCTATCTTCACAATCAAATATCAATGAGGACATATCCTCAGCTACGTCAAGCCAGCCAAAGATGTGATATGCTCCAATCAAAGCCCATCTCTCAGCAGTACCAATGCAGCTGCCTAAGAAACCATCATTACTGGCATGATCTTTTGTTTTTATTTGTGCTTCATTTGACCCCAGAACCTGCCCAGTGCTTGTGTACCGCAGAAGGATGTCACAGTTCTGCTCGTTAACACAACTAGATGATACAAGCAATACTCCTAAAGGAATCCACTGATGCAACAGGTTAAAGTACGAGGGATGGTGGTCCGATACTTTTCCAACTTGCACTTGAGGAAAGGCAGTTGTCCTACAACATTTTACACAGCGATCATCAAATTCTTTAACCAGGGAGCTTACAGTGTTTATTGGCACATGGAATTTCTCTGAATTCGCAGCTGTGGGTATTCGCAGTTTCCTCCTATGATTCACAGTACTTTGGTAGCTTAGGCACTTTTTGTTGTTCCTAGCCCAAGAATGTGATATTTCCAAAATATTGTTTGATAGCACCTCGCATTGATCATCATTAGAAGGGCATAGCACCCAAGAAAGGTAAAAGGCTGCCCTCTGAACAAGACTGACATCACTTATTGATTCAGCAGTTATCTCTTTGGATAATGTTTCTGATAAATAATCTTGTGAGCCTTCTCTGTGGAAAAGTAAAGCAGTTGCAAAACTGAACCAAACGCGGAAATTAATAATCATGTACCTGCAGAACCACAGTTATATCAGGTGCAGTTAACTTCTGTCATACAAATGCTAAACATCTAGCTGTATTGCATATTTGAAAACGCATACCAAGCAGAATTGTATTTTACCAATCCCTTCGATGGTTGTAGTTGTAAGTTTTTCTGCGAAGAGCATCTAGTTCTTGTGCTGTCCAAATGAACCAAGGCACTGATATAAGAAACTAGGTCCAAAAAACCTTTACAAGATAAGGGTCCAGTTAGTATCGCAAGCAAGTCACTTTGTTGGCTTGGGAAGTAAGCATGTGAAAAGGGGAATCTCTGCCCCAATTCTATGGATATTCCCCATGACATAGGCTTGAGAAGAATGTCTAATGCCAACAATACCAATGCATTGTGAAGTTCTAGCACAGAACCCAAACCCCTGCACAAATAAAGGATGAATAAAGAGATTTTACAAGAAGCGGTCCTTAAACAGCGAGCCCACAATGTATAACTAGTTCAGACAATATATAGAGATGTGTAAATGTAACATCCATAATAGTGTTGTTGGTAAAATATCATTTAGGGCTACAGAAAGCAAGGATACAAAAAAAAACCTAAAAATTCAGTCAAATTTATTTCTTTGAAAAATGTAAGATCAAAATTGGAATTAAAAATTAAGTGACAAATGTAGAATAAGTTTGGTACTGTTCATTGAATGAAATCTGTTTCAAACCACTTTCCTAAGATAACTTTAATCCACTGCCTGTTTGGTGCATTCCTAATTTAGTCATGTCGGAGCTTCTGAAATAACTATTTGGTGGACTGCCATGATGTGGCAAGCCACTCTTAACCTTTGCTGCTCTGCAGTTCTATTTGTAAGATTAAAAGTATGTGTAGAAGCCCACTGACCGCGACCGGGACACATCAAACTCAGTGCAAACAACAGTATAGGGCATTTCATATGAGTGTTTGAGGTGTGAACTTACGTTGCTAGAAACCAGAAGTGTAATAGTGATCTCATCTCCATAAATATTGTTGGGGAGCAAACCAGGCAAATTATAATGATACGCCATTCCATCCTATTATACAATTCCTTTCTCAGGCAAAGCAAGGGCCTTCTAATTACCTCCTGGAGCATCGCTGAGAGATCATGCCTAATAATTGATGGATCAAGATGCCATAAAAGCAACCTACCACAGACAGAAGATATAACTAAATCAGTATACTCCATGCAGTGACAACAAAGATACACTTAAGCATAATTATAGAAAGCAGATGCTTAAAAGTCCATGCAATGACAACAAAGATACAC